CTGCTGATGATTAGAGGTGCTGGTGGTGTACTGGTTGAAACAGCTATGCACTTTTGTGACCCATCACTCGATGCATGTGCAGCGTCCACTAGGTGTCGCTATCGTCCTCAAATGTACTCTTACTCTTCCATTAAAGAAAAGACAAAATTCACAACAGTCACTCAAATAACCAGAAACTGAAAAAAGTAATAATAAATAAAAATTTGCAAAATTAGAATTTAGTGAAATAAGATATTGCTTTTGAATTGTGGTTGAAAATAAAAATCAAACAAACAAAACTGTCCCAGACAAATTAGAGCACTTTGCTGATGAGCAGTGGGCCAGAATACCTGTCAACAGGTGCAGAAGTCTGACTGAGAGCTACAGAAAACACCTGATAGCAGAGATTGGCTCAAAGGGTTGTTCAACTAAATACTAGTTTACGGGTCCCATCAGGACTTTTGTTTTAAGTATCAGAGCTGCTAACTGAGAAACTATGAGTGAATTCAATATGGCTGACTTTGTGTGGCACTTAAGACCTGGATGCATAAGGCTTTTTCATACATGTGGAAATGGTGCCTGTAGGGGACATCTAGTCTTATATCTCTTTTATCATTTATGGTTTTTTTTGTTTTTTTTTTAGAATTTTTAAAAATCTTTTTTTCTTTTTCATTTTTATTTATTTTTTATTATGTTGCCTTAAAACAAAAGGAAATATGCGCAGAAAAATGTGCGCAGTAGGAATGTAGTGCGCATATTTCCTTTGCTTTTAAAGCGACATAAAAAATGATAACAATTTTTTTTTAAAATTATTTTAAAAAATAAAAAATACTCAGCCCCATGTCCATATTGTTGGTGCTGGTGTGTATGCGTGTGTGTGTGTGTGTTGAGTATGAGTGTGATATTGTTTGTTTGTGCGTGAGGGAAGGGTGGGAATGATTTTAAGGTGATTTTAATCTGTAAAGCACTTTGAACTACATCATAGTATGAAAAGCGCTTTAGAAATAAAGATTGATTGATTGATTGAAATGTAAAAAATATATATATTATTATATGGATGGATATATATTTAATTATTATATTTATTTGTCCTTATATTTCTACTTTTATTAGCCCTTTCTCTTCTGGATTCATTTTTGATTAAAATTGCTTTATATGGCCACATAATTTATTTTTAATTTTATTTATTCTTCTTTTTATTTCCACTTTTGTTTCATTATTCTTTTATTGATTTATTTTTGTAATTTGGCACTCTCACTACTCCACAGTTTGTTTCCGTGCAAAAAATAAATAAATAAAAAAAATGAATTAAAAATTAATGACCATTATTTTTTGTTTAAAAGCAATAACAGGGAAAAAAAGATCTAAAGAGGGTGACTACGTTTCAGAGGCGCTGCGTACTCTCAGTCTACATCCTGTAAGTCAGAACAGATGAAACCTACAGTGAAGGTGCAACTTTGAAGTTTCCTAAAGGCGCTTTAGCATATGCATAACAAAGAACCACGAAAAAATAAAAGATTTCACCACTTCTAAGGAGCTTCATAAATTTTTAAGCACCTTCAAGCCCTTCAAAAACTTCCTTCATGTGTATTGATAACAGCAGTCCCTACAGACACGAGGTGGCCTTTGCTCCGCTCAGCGCTCAGGCCCTAATTACGGGAGGAAACCAGGAGAAGCAAGAAGGACAGAGAGAGCCTGCGTTGCATAACGCTCTGCACTTTGCACCAGGACATTCAATCAGCAGTCTTGTCTGATTATTGTGGTCTACAGAGCTGATCCTCGCAATGTCAAAGTGAAATCAGAGGACACGAAGCTGAACAAATAAAAGTTGCAGGACTTTTATGTACACAACTTGTGCATACAATAAGAAGCTCCAACAAACACATAAAAACCCTAAAGGACAGTATATATGTGCGTGTGTGTGTGTGTGCGCAGCACGTGTCTGTACATAATTAAATGTTTTTGTAAAGTCACTCTTTCATGGTTTAATGTAAAATCATGAGCCACTAATTTTAAAAGCATTAAGAGGGTTTAAGGTTGCTCTGGCTTTATTGTATTAAGGTGAAGGTTACTGATGTAGGCAACCAGATGTTTTATCAGTCTGTGGTGAAGAGCGCCATCTTCTTTGCTGTGGGCGCAGGCATCAAGGCGAAGGACGCCAACAGACTGAACAGACTCATCAGGAGTCTGTTGGTGGCTGTCAGTCGGTCACCCTGGAGGAGGTGGTGGAGCAGAGGATGCTGACCAATCTGCAGGTCATCATGACCAACCCCACACAGCCCCTCCATCACACTGTGGACGGTCTGAGGAGCAGCTTCAGCAACAGACGGACAGGAGGTCTTTCCTCCTGACAGCAATACAACTCTTTAGTGCCTCCGTCTAAGCAGCGTATTATTATTATATCATATAATAGCACATTATCATTTGCACATTTCTGTATCTCTTATATTTTTTTGTAAATTTAGTTGACTTTCTTCTACATTATATTTTCTATATTTTGATCTTATCTCATTTTATACCCTACCATAATACTCTGTGTTGTCTTTTTTCCTTGTTTACCCCCTTTGTTGAACAGCCACGCTGCTGTAACATCTGAATTTCCCTCTGGGGATTCATAAAGTCAGCCTAAGTCTCTCAGTCTAAGTCTAAGAGGAGGAAGAAGAAGGAAGAAGAACACGCAGCAAATTATTCTTGACGTTTATGAACAGACTGCAAAATGCATTCAGAGAAGAAAGGGATTGAATTTGAGGGCAATAAAAATCACTTAAAATGTAAAAATCTGCTCTGTGGCTGTGATGCGGAGTCATCACTGCGAAATGATTTCATGAGATCTGATTTGCATGAACTCACCTTCGATCAGCTTCACTCACATCTAAACTGTGAAAATTTCTCACGAAGCCAAACAACAAACATTAACTTCTCTGCTTTTCTCTTTATCGTGCTATAAATTCAGTAAATAAACATATGAATATTTCACAGCGCTCTCTCTCTATACAATCTAAGTGTTTTCACTCAGTTTGGCAACAGTCCCCACTTTGGCCGCTCTTCAAACCCCGGCCCAGGGTGTCTGTCTGATCGGACACATCATCAAGCATTCAGAAATGCCAGTGGGGCTCACAGGGAGAGAAGTGGACAATAGCACTCTTGATGTTTTGATAAGAAACAATGGCCTCCTCAGACAGCTTTGCTCCCTTATTCTCCCCGACTGGCCTTTAGTGTGAATATCTCTTATCCCCACCATTCACGGCGGAGCAGCACCGAGGGACCCGCTGACGCACTCGCACTGCCGCCATCACCGCTGCTGTCTGTCTAACTGTCCGGCCTGCTTGACAGAATGACACCTCACATACATATGAATCGTTCTTTAAAGCAGCAAGAGGGTGAACTCTATGTGGAAACAGCCTTGAATGTGAGAAAAGAAAAAACCCTCTTATATGTGTTTTAATTTCCTTCGTGAAGAGAGTGAAACTGAACCCAGTCGGGCCGTGCGTTCTTGTGTAACCCACACCCAGCCGGGGATCAGCGGGTCAGCACACATCTCCCAGCTGCATCACACAGATCAGTCCGATCAAATATTAAAGGAGGATCTGGCTACACTCACTTGGCTGCAGCTTCTGAAGGTCGTGAATCAGGAGTTAATACGTCGTAGGCGGCATCACCAGACTCTGCTGCATGAAGGTTCTTTTTTCAAATCTTGAAACGCTCCAGTGGACTCACCGCTCTTGCGTATCCTCTCCTCTAGAACTTCTGTGTGTCCGTTGGGCATCTTTCTGCTGAAAACCTGAGCCGAGCGCAGAAACATGGCCTCCACAGCCGAACCCTTCAGCAGAGCGATTTGATCCTCGTGGTCCAGAGATAGGAAGCCTGGAAGAGGGGAGGAAAACATTACAGGAAATAAAGAGTTAACATCAAATCAAAATCAAGTTTATTGTCATTCTGCTGTACATACAAGATGAGGGAGCGTTTCTTCAGGATCCAAAAACTAAAAGATATCAAATAACGAAGTGTTTGCATGTCTGGATCAGCAGTTCAGCGTTCTGACAGCTTGTGGACTGAAGCTGTTGATTATTCTGGAGCAGGGATCCCCATCTCTGGTCACCGTGAGCTACTGTCCTGCAAGTTTTAGATGTTTCCTTCTTCCAACACACCTGATTCAAATGATCAGGATCGTTATCAGGCTTCTGCAGAGCTTGATGATCAGCTGATCATTTGAATCAGGTGTATTGGAATACAGAAACATCTAAAACTTGCAGGATTGCGGCCCTCGAGGACCGGAGTTCGACACCCTTGGTTTAGATGTTTCCGAACTGCAGCACACCTGACTCCAATTAATGGATCTCCAACAGCTTGTTGTCAAGTTCTACACAAGTCTGGTGATGATCCATTAATGTGAGTCAGGTGTGTTGCAGTACGGGAACGTCTAAAACCTGCAGGACAGTAGCTCACGAGGACCGGAGTTGGAGATCCCTGTTTATGGAGAGGGTGTGAGGATGTAACATGTCATTTAATTTGCATTTCCAGTGTGTGTTGGACCTCTGATCATGCTCTTTAGGTCTAATTCTCAAGTATATTCTCGAAAAAAATACCTGGAATGTTTTTCGTAAACTCCACCAACACTTGGACTTGACTCGTCGCCATCTCAGTCAACAGGAGGAAGTTCTCCTCGGCGCTGTACTGGTCTTGTAGCTGTGGGGAGAAACAGCAGTTTTAGCGTGTGATGGTGCATTTCATGTCCGTGTGAACTGGTTTTTGAGCTGCTCTCCAGCATCATCATCAATAATTCATAGTATAGAGAAGTGTGGTACACACCAGCTTTTTGGTAACATCTTGAGGAATCTGATGTCTGTTGTAAGCATCGAGGATGAGCTTCATGAGCGCCCGCTGCTCTTTAGTGATTTCAACCTTTTCCTTGATTGGGTAAGAAAACAGAAGCAGCACATAACGGTGGTGAAGCAGTTTGTCTCAGTTTAAAGGATAAAGTTTGGGCACATTTAAGGAAGATACTGCCGATGTGGGGTTTACCTTTGACAGCTTGGTGGTTGAGGTGACCTGTTTGTTGTCTGCGCCGTCGGCTCCCTCCGTCTCGTCTCCTGGCGACTGTCCCGGGGAGGCCTTGGTGTTCTTTCGCAGCCTTTTCGATTTACACTGGATCTCTGTCAGCAGGCCTGTCGGCATTGGCGGAGGCTTTACTTTGTTTGTTAAATACTTCACAGAGCCAACCGGCAGCAATTCTAAATGTTGGTGACGGCTGTGGTCAGATTAAAATGTACAGTCGTCCTCAAATGTATTCACACCCTCCCATTAAAGAAGGAAAATAAACAGCTGTCACTAAAAAAAAGTTGAAACTGACAAAAGTAATAATAAATACAAATTTAATGAAAATCATGACATTATACAAAATAGAAACAAAAAAACAAGCATGATGGGACCCATAAGCTAATATTTTGTTGAACAACCCTTCAATCACTGCAATCAAGTGTTTTCTGTAACTCTAATTTGTCCTGGACAGTTTTTTTTATTATTATTCTGTTCAACCACAACTCAAAAGCAATGTCTTACTTCATTAGAATATAATTTTGCGAATTTTTATTTATTATTACTTTTTTCAGTTTCCAGTTATTTGAGTGACTATTTTAATTTAATTAATTTAATTTTTTCTTTAATAGAAGGATATGAATACATTTGAGGACGACGGTGTGAGAAATGTACAACTTCAAGGTCTTAATTGTGGTTGTTAAGTAGAGCTTGGCACCCTGACTTCCTCTTTCCTTTTGCTGTGTCTCTATTTTGTCCCTATTTTATGGCACTTTTATTCTGATTTGTCTTTTAGCTTCGTGTGTTTGTGGGTTCATTATTGAGCAGCACATTGGTTTAGCTCCTGTTGTGTTATGATTCGATCAATATTTTAACAGCACATCGTCTGTAATTTGCACTCTATCAAACACGTGATCCCGTTTTTATCATTATGAATACACATTAGGGCAAATTCTTTATGTTATTTTATTTATAATTTGCTCTGGTTTTATTCAGCTCATTCCCAGTAATGAGAAAATACATTCACATGCTTTTCACTGTCATGTATTGTTGTAATTCAACAACTAGAACAGCCAGAGGAGGGAAGAAACCGACCAATAAATAGAACGAAATCAAACCTCCCTGTTAAATCATCATCTGTCTTCCCACATCATGAGCAAAAACATCCAACCTGTTGAGTTGCAGTGGCGGCGGCGTGAAAGCCTTCCACCCTGCAATATTCATCACGACTTCCCTGCACTATTTATGAGCAACAGGAGTCCAGTCTGTCCTCCTGCTCCTTTCAGCTGGCAGCTTTTAATAGACCACATAACTAATAATCCTCTAATGACCCACCATCAGAGAAGCTGTAGGATCACATTCATGTACACTCAGAAAAAAAAATGGACAAGAGGCAGCGGTGGTGAGACAAAAAAAAAATTCCTCTTCATGACCACAAATGCTCAGAAGGCGTTGATTCTATTTAAACGGAGCTTAAGGTTTCTGTTTAACTGCTTCTATTCCTGTAACAAAAGCCGGGCCTTTTGCAGGCGGCGATATAATGTGACAGTAAAATTCAACGGAGCATGTCAGAGTGGAAAACGAGGGCTTACCTTTGACAGCTCGATACGACTAAACAGGCAGCGTTAGCATGTGGGCAGTGCAAGTCAGTTTGAAACACATCTACAAGCAGAGATACTCACACTCGGCCAGCATGCCCATCTCCTTGCACTTTCTCAGCCGGCACTCCTGGCATTTCCTGCGCATGTACATGTCCATCTCACAGTTTCCGCCGCTCTTGCATTTGTACACAGCGTTTTTTGTGATGCTCCGTCTGAAGAAACCTGAAAAATGGTAAGAACAAGGAATGAGCGAGATGCAGAAAAAGCTGCTGCAGAGCTCAGATATGGGCCCCAACGTGGTACAAAGGTAGGAAGGTAAGTTGGCTCAAGTCATTGCACAGCGTTCAAGGTTTTTGATGCAATAAAAATGGATTTTTAAGACCAATAAAGGAAGTGATGTTTGAGTTGTGAACAATAACTTCATGATACAATGCAGGCTGCTGATGGACGCCATCCATCCATCCATCCATCCATCCATCCATCCATCCATCCATCCATCCATCCAGGGTGTCTAATTGGTAAAAACCATTATGCAACATGACAAGAACAAGGAGTCCTACAACCGACGGCAAAGCCCCCCAACATCATGGAGTCTGTGATGGCCGCCATCCCAACCATGAATGTCGGTAACCCCAGTTACCACTTTAGCTTAAGTTTGCACTCATCCATCCATCCATTATCTATACACCGCCTAATCCTCACTAGGGTCACGGAGGGCTGGAGTCTATCCCAGCTGACTCAGGGTGAAGGCAGGGGACACCCTGGACAGGTATCCAGTCTATCACAGGGCTACACTTAGAGACAGACAACCAAGCACACTCACATTCACACCTACGGACAATTTAGAATCACCAATTAACCTCAACATGTTTTTGGACCTTGTGGGAGGAAGCCAGAGAACCCGGAGAGAACCCACGCTGCACGAGGAGAACATGGAGACTCCACACAGAAAGATCCTGGGTGTCCTCACCAGCGATCTTCTTGCTGCGAGGTAGTGGTGCTAACCACTGATCCACCTTGCAGCCCGACATTTGAGTTTGATGATATAATGCAGGCTGCTGATGGATGTGTCTTTCTAAGTTATTTTAGGGTTATTTTATGCCCTTTTTTAGACACAATAAAGAGAAACCAGTAAATAAATGAGGGGGGAAACGGGAAATCTAACTAACTCCCCTGGGAGAATCTAGGGTAATACATACGTACCGCAATTTTCCTGTAACTGTGAATAACCATACATTAATAATTTCATAAAATTCTCATTTTTATTTCATGGATATAACTATTGAATTTAAATTTAATACTGTAAACATCTATATTTATAATCTTTAAATTCGATATAATTACTGACAGCTAACAAAGAAGAAATGTTGGTTCATCTTACACAGATTTGTTATCTTGTATAATTACAGAAGTTTACACAGCAAAAATGTTGAATGACTGTTTTCATTAGTGTATAATATCTACAACCACTGGTAAACTGTCAAAATGCTTTTTATGTTATTGAAAATGCTGATTCTTAGTGTAGCAGTTGGACTAAAGTTAACTACACTTCATCTTCTAGATCAAGCATACAGACTATTTTGATATAAAACATCTGTAAAGCGATGAATAGTGCTACGGGTTATTGACTGTGAAAGATTGCAGCTCATTTGTTGCGTTCAGTACTGTAGGAGGCGGCTGGTGGTGCATAGACCCAAACACAAAGACCCTTAGAAACACTAATGTTCAAATCCAGATTGTTAAATTATTTCAGTTGTGGCATGTTTGAACTGTCATTGCAGACAATCTATGAGGTGGTTTTTGGTGTTTGTGTGGTTGAGAGGATTGAGGGGGTTTAGTTAGCAACATATTTTTATTAAACTGTTATTTTCCGACATTTTGCCGTATTTTTTGCGGACACAGCTGCTGGAATAACATCGAGGAGTTTTTCTGTTTTTGCTTCACCTTTACCAAAAACACACTGAACAAATATGATGTAAGTGTTCATAAAAGGACATTTTACATTTGAATAATAGGCCTTTGGAACATCGCTCACACATTTCTGCACTGAAGTACCCCTTTGTCTGGGTGACAACAAGGTATTATGAGCTGATGTATTAGTTACTCTCATCGCCAGCTACTTTTTATATCACATTATTATAGAGTAGAATACCTGACAGTGGATAAAGCAGTTCAAAATAATTTTACCTTTTGTCAACTACATGGATAAAATTCTGCTCATGCATTGATACTGCAATAAAAATGATTTTTAAAAAAAGAGTATATATTCTGTAAGTTTGTTTTTAAAACCACAAACGGTTGTAAGACAAAAATAAAATTGCTGTTTCATCGGTTATGCATTGTTCTGACACCGGTGAACCCAGCTGGCTTTGATCCAGACACCCACACACACACACACACACACACACGCCGAATAACTTTGGAACAGTTACTAGACATTCTGACATCATTAAGCACAATGACATGCATTAACGTAACTGAGCTCGGGTTGCTCGCGCATTGTGCTGCAGAAAGCTGAGAGGGAACCCAATCTGGCAGCGGTACTGGGTAGACCTGAGCCTATTCTCAGTCAAATGGCAGGACAGGTCAGCTGCCGCTCTCCTGGCATTGTCCAACCGCCGCGTGTGGAATTACACTCACATCCATTCACCCGGTCGATTGACAGGAATCACACCAAATTCACAGCATCATAAAAAAAAAACAAAGAAAAGAAAAAACAAGCTGGGAGGAGCCGCTGAAGGCCGTCACGGAGTTAATCATTCGTAAATGTAGAAAGGGTAGTAAAGTTCGTGCTCTTACTGTAGCACGGCCTCATTTTATTGTTCTTGTCGTCTTAAAATGTGTTTTTCTAAAGCTTAAGAAGACACAGTCCGACCTGTGTGTGACTGATAAAAGCCAATTCAACATAGAATCAACAGCAGTGGTAGTAAATAGTTGTAAAGTGCAATTACAAAAAGATGTTTTTATCCCCCAACGCCATCCAGTAAACACACTGTTGTAGCATTAAAGCATGAACAAAATGATTTCCTTTATAAAGAAATCCCAACTTATCCAGGACTAACATGAACAAACACCACAACAAGGACTCCTGATGTTGAAAACCTGACAATATTTTAATGGCCACATGCTCACTTTACCGACTGTGTAGTCATGGCCGGTCCCTCAAAGTCAACAGCTAACGACGGTAGCATCATTTGTTAGAATGTGGGCCAAATGTCATTCAGCTCATGAGGGTACAGTTGTACACGACACCTGTCTGGATTTGTACTTTAAACAGTGCAAACTCAGTCTGGCTCAGATAAATACGCTGGAAAAGCACTGGCATGAATACACAAGCTGAAATGAAGCAGGACAAACTGTATTTCTTACTTTTTTTTAAAAGAACAGTTCCAAAAAAATTCGCCAAATATGATGGAAAATAAATCTGAAACTATTTCTTACCACTGGTTAATTGATTATTTAGAGTCATTTTAATCAAAAATGCCGTTTTCTCCCTCGTCGCAGCATTTTCTGTTTGAATATTTGCTGCTTTGGATGAGTGATATCAACATCAATGTCTTTCAGTTTTGGACAGCTGAGTGTATAAAACAAACATACTGGGTTTTGTTAACTTGGACTTTGAGGAACTGATAACAAAAATAACAGATCATGAATTTCATCATAAGCTGCAGCACATGGCTAAAAAAAAAAGGCAAAGTTTGGCAAAATATCTGATCAAACATCCATGACTGACTATAAAATGAAACATAGACGAGTGTTTACAGGCAACATCCTGCATGAAATGAATGAAAATAAGTACAAAAGGGACAGTGCAGTGTGCAGAAAGAAGACAGAGGATTTAAAACATCTGCTTTATGGGTGCCTCCTCTTGACCTGCACCAGTAGCTTAAATTCTGATCTAGATTCGTATGACGATCGGAAGCGGGGCTGGTGTTTTTGCGGGTTTTACAAAAAAGAACCTAACTGATACTGTAATCACACTGTCTAGACGTGGAGCTTTTCAGTCGTTGTATGAAAGCAAAATGATTAATCGATGAAAGTTGCTCGGTAACTTGTTAAAAATGCACATTAGAACCCTGTCTATTAGTAATGTCAATAAGTTTCAGAATCCATTTTATTGAAATGCCTAATTAGGTTACTTTTCATGACAAATATGAATACATTTTTCTTCCCCTATATATATTTTAATTCCTTTATTTTGTGTTCTTTTGCTTTAAAGTTTGAATTGAATGTTCTTTTTAATCTGTAAGTTATTACTGTGTTATTATAATGTTATTACTGTGTAATTACTGTGTTATTACTGTTATCACTAATTTATGTTTTGTTAAAATTTTTGTTAGTGTGTGTATATATATATACATATAATAATTCCTTTATTTTGTGTTCTTTAGCTTTAAAGTTTGAATTGAATGTTTTTTATCTGTAAGTTATTACTGTGTTGTTATTATGTTATTACCGTATTATTACTGTGTAACTACTGTTATTATTGTGTTGTTACTGTTATCGCTAAGTTATGTGTTTTGTTTTATTTTTTGTTGGTGTATATGTCAAATGAGAGCCTTCTATTTTATTGCAACCACAGTTATAAACCACACGACCGGCGTTCTGTACTCTCACCTTTACACCCCTCACAGGTGAGAGCGTTATAGTGGTATCCGGAGGCCTTGTCTCCACACACAACACACAGTTCCTCCCCTTTGACTCTCCCAGCTTGCGACATGTGCCGGGTCCTCTTGCACACCGCCGGCACAACAGAGGACCCCTCCTCCATCTCAGCTTCATAGCCGCCCTCCAGGGGTCCTTTCCTCAGTTCATATATCCCCGTGTGCGAGTACCACTCGTCTCCGTGGTACTGAGGGTAGTAGTTCTGAGTGGAGTAGTACGGAGTGGAAGACATGTTGGGCTCCATGGGCGGGTACTGCATGCTGGGGTAGCCGGCGAAGGGCATAATGTCGGGATCCTGCAGGAGAGGACTGCCCTGATCTGCCAGAATATCTGAGAGGAGAAGAGGGGAAAGATGACCAAACAGCATGTCGATAAGTTTTCATTTAAAGCCTGTTAACTTTTAATTTTTTTTGGCATAACGTGTAAAAGTTACAAGGGCACATAATCATCTGGCAAATGTGGTATCATGAACATTTTCATTCATTTGGGTCATTCCGCCTCAAGTCACTGAACGCCTCACACCTGACCTTCTGCAATTTAACAGATTTTTTAAAAAGTGGTGAATACTGATGGGGTTGACCATGTGTGTAAAATCTGGGTTAAATCAAAGCACATATGAACCACATGTACGTATCAATGAGCATGCAAAACTTCAGGACTCTATTTCTCGAGTAATGGCCCTTCAAACATTGCTGCTGTTTTAACATATGTATGCACAGAGAACAAAATAAAACAAAAACAGACAAACATGAGATGGTGAGGTGTGAACTTCTTCTTAAATTTGGTGAATTGAAGTGGAATGTGTTTTGTGTCTGTACATCTAAACAATATCAGTAGTGGTGACTGTTATCTGTGGATTCATGGCTGTCGATTGGAATGTGATCGGACCCACTGATAATATAAAATACCTCAGATTTAATGTGTGAATCAAACTGGTGGAGCTTAAGCATCAAAAGTACTGAAACACCAAAGAAAATCACCTCACTTTTATCTACATATCAGTCAAGTTTGTGCAACAGACGACACCTTCTATCCTCACGCTGTTGGATCTTGTTCGACTTGAAACAGGCCTCCGCAGTAGCCAGCAACACACACAACTTACTGTATACTATAAACCCATAAATGATTAACAACCCGCTCGCAGTGGGAACACCGTGTCTTTTAGAATGACATGTAACACCGCACCGAGCGAGCTGACACTTTTGAAACTGATACTAGGCTGAACATAAGGATATTAGCAGGGTCACCACGTTGCTTCATCATTATTTATAACCAGAGTAGTTGCGGCACATTCATGAGTTTTCATGTCCTTTAAAAACAACACTGAGCAGATGAGTGCCACTTCAAAGACGATGCAATCTGGATCATTTCTCAGCTGGAACGCTGTCAGACATTCAACAAGTACAACATCTGTGAAGCTAAATGTTACACTGACCTGAAGACTTGGTCTGGACCATGGCCATCTCCGTGTGAACAAACACACACACTATCGTGAGACTTTACTCTCTGGACCTCACAGTCCAGCTGTGATTTGTAGCTCAGTCCCTTTTCTTTGCATCCAGCCCCGAAAAACCATGTCCCATGTGTCTCTTATGATTGGAAATTCTTCCTCTGAAGATGTAAGAACAGCACCCAACTACTTGGCACCTCCTTGAGAAATCTAAAGGGGGGGCAAAGGTTTCCATAGCTACTCATTAACCACAAAGTCATATTCCTTACATCATTAACAGTAGCTGGCAGTTGTCTGAAGTCAAGTTTGGGCACTGACTGCTACTGTACGGTGTGAACATGGAGCATGCATGTATTAGGAGGAACTCTGTACAGGTGCTTGGTGACAATTAGTGCTTGCTTTTGGTTTGTCCTGACTTTAAGATGAATGGCATTTACACTTCAGTTATATCAAATGTGTCATGAATGGCATCTTGAAAGTGCTGATACTCTTTTTATTCCTGCAACATATGGTTTTTATGGTGTTTGACCAAACCGGACTAATTGGAGGTGTCTTGAGGTGTCTTGAGTCATTAGTAGTAAATTAGATGTTGTGACTGTAGACGTCCCAAAGATTCCACCATTATCAAACACCTACTGGTGGGTTTGCACGTCATCCTAACAAAAACCTGCAAGTATGTAGCACACATGTGCATTCAGTGGCCTCTTTATTAGGTACACTTAGGTAAAACTAAATGCATCGTATTAAATCATGAATAAATTCTACTGTTTTGTAGGTCAGAATGTTCAGTTTTCATTGAATCATTTTGAAGGATGGAGAAGAATCAAGTAAAGATTTCTTCTTTTCTTTCCTACATTACTGTCGACATCCACGTGCTTTTAGGCATGCTTTGATTTGATTTATTCTTTATCCCAAAAGCAAATGAATCTATGTAAACATATTCTCACTGAACACAGTGTAAGGGTGTGTATGCAATGCTGTATTTTAGGTGTAATGTTGATGAGGCATTTACATTGACATTGTGTGATCACGTCGAGTAATTAGTTTGGTGCACAACCTCACTTTGTGGAGGCCCTATGCCAAGTCCCCTCTCCTTTCAAGCACCAGTACACACACAATCTACATTATACTCCATATTCAGAACAAATGCACTTTTGAAAGGTGTGTTTTCTTTAAAATATTTAAGTTTATCTATAGCCAGACACTATCGAGTCAGATTTTCTGACGGTCCGTGAATATATCATATCTGATGTACAGGTCCATCAGGAAAAATATCCAATTCTAAGCTCAAAATGACATCATTCCTATTTCTTATTAAAAAATTCACCAAAAACTCATAATTTGTACCAGATCTTGTAAAAATAAAAAAAAAAGTTCTGTCCTGTGTCCAACAAAGAGTTTTCAGGTGAACTCGGACACAGAGAACATCTGAGTTCACCTGAAAACTCTCTGAATCTGAGAGGTAAATAAAACACACATGATTAATACTTCATAAATGCAGCATGATGGTGGAAGAACTGTGGACCAAGTTGTCAGAAAAACTTCTAGTTTGTACAAACTGCAGAAAAGTCAATAGTTATATACATCTATAGTATTTGGAGCCAGCCCTTTTTCTTGTATTGGTAACACCCAGGAAAGAAAATTCAACTCTAGTTCATGTATTTCCAGTGATCATAACTGTATTAAATTGCACAGAAGGCAATTCTGAGTTCTCTCGACTTGTAGTCATGGCTTCACTGTTTCCAAAGAGGTGCTGGATTTTATATTTCAAAAAAAAAAAAAAAAAAAAAGAGCCCATGGTGAGTAAAAATGTGACAGCAGCAAAAACAAAACAAACAAAAAGGCCAAATAATCATTTGGGGTTCAGATGGCTGCTGCACTCTATGTCTAAGCTGCATTTTTGACAATAAAATCAAACTAAACAAACAAATGATAAAATATGAACCAACAAGTTAACACAATCATAAACAGCACAATGAAACCATTGACCTCACAGCTCCGAGTCCCTGTCTAAAAATACATCCTTGTTGCTCGTGTGCTGTGAAAATTGGGACAAATGGGCCAGAAAGAGACGGCAAAAAACCCTCTGATGTAAAGACAATATTGCACAGAGAGTGTGGGACAAATAATCACAAGGCCAAACGGGGATCAAACACAGAGTCGTGACATTAGCAGCCGTTCATTAACTAACTGAGCTGACAGTGCACACAGAAAGGAACCATGTTTTGAAGGCAGTTACACACTATGATCGTCCTTTGGTCTGTCATTACCAAATGTGTCAATTTATGCTTGAAGGGACAAAAATACGCAACAGGATCCCTCGGCAGTCAAAAGGCCCTACGCACACGTACAGTCCAAACACAGCAAGAAGCCATTGTGTGCATAGTCTGCCTCACCATGTGTACTCTGTGGATGTAATTCTGCCATCTACGCTATCCATTTTCAAAATCCCTTTCACTATCGGAAACAACGACAACAACCTCCGGGCAACAACCTACACACTAAAAATGTAAAGTTATGCGTGCAGGAAGGCAGCCCTGCTATAGTTTTTCAGTAAATTAGAATTTTTAACCTCCCCGCATGCAAAGTTTCAACCAGAACAATTCATCAGTCATTGAGGGGGCACCGTTGCTGCATCCCGGGCTAAGCTTTGCCCAACACTATTGGTTTAAAGTAACACAAACGAGACTGCTGTGTATCAACAAGACGGCACACAAGAAAACTACAAATAAACACAAAGGTGACATTTATGCTTTACTGGAGGTGATGTCAAAGGGTGTATTTTGTCAGAACTATAATTTTCCCTGTACTTTTGCTTATGATCACGCACCAGCAACACGAGTCACATTCCCTCCAGTCTTAGATAGGGACTGCACTCATGAGCTAATGTTAGCATGCCTGCTAAAACATCAGCATGTTCATGTTGTCACTGTGACCATATGTTAGCATGCTAACATTAGCACTGAGCTCAAATCGTCTTGTTTTGTCTTTCTGTGAACTGAGTCCAAGCAGACTTACCAAACAAGTGCGAGCTCTCCGAGATGGAGAAGTCATCGCCGGGTGGGATTTGCAGCGGTCCCACCACATTGATGTCGGGGCCCACCCACTCATTCATTCAGGAGGGTTGTCGGTCACCAACTCAGAAAACACAGGTTTGGATTGGGATGGAGAGTAGCTGTGAGCCTCTGTTGACCTGTGTGACATGGACAGAAATGTGATTTGTGAACCTCGGTACAGATCTGATAAACTGTAGGTCTGCAGGATCCTGTGACACCTGCAGCACAATGCAATTAAACATCATCCTGGGAGCCTCCACATCAACCCACCCGACACGTCTGCTCTCCCACACAGGGATGAAATGTTCAGAAGCTGCTTGCAGGGAGGAGGGGATGAAGGTCAGGTGACTACAAGGCCTTGGGAAGAGCGAAGCGCGGAGAGACGTCTGTTGTTTCTTTACTCTCATAGCAGTTATTACAGCGTCCCATTACATATTCAAGTGTCATGAGGGCTCAGTTGACAGGATGTATAACAAGATCCATGTTGTCATTCTTCATGTAATTTCGTAATCATAACACATGCAAGCCTTCGGTGTTAGTTAGCATATAAAGCTTGTTCAATCATATCATAAAACCTGAGCTTCACATGAGAATCTACAACAGAGTTCATGGTCTTGCTGCAGAGGCCACAACACAGTCACATGTGCGACTTTACTACCTCACCTGCCACAGGTTTTTAATTAACTCTGTGTAATTTCCCCTGAGATATAAAAGCCACCCACAAGGATTCAGAAGCCTCCAGCCCACACAGCAGCCCAACATACGTCTCTACCTGTCAGAAACCAGTGGCACACCGCGGGCTCGTAAGAGAGTCAGCTGTGAAATATGCTTTGACTGGATCTCACAGGTCTTACCTTATCCTGGTTCGCTGGTGTCCAATTCCTGCCTGCTGACTTTTTTCTTTTTTTTTTTTTTTGTAATCGTCCTCTTGATTTTCTCTTATATCCTCTCTGCGAGCTACAACTCCATCAGTGTCTGCTAACGAACATTAAGCTGCTTGCGTCTGGCCTCCAGCGAGCGCATGTGTTGAGGTCCGGGAGAAATGGATGGTGGTTATTAATTAAACTGTCCATTCCTGTCCATGACATCCCTCCAAACACACTCGCTCCCCCACCCAAGAAAAAAAAAAAAACATTCTTTATCTCTAACAAGGCAACAGGGCTGTCTCATGAATTCCCACCCACATCGACAAACATCACACACATGGAACATACATCCAGTAATAAGCGTGACACACAAACCTGCGACGAGTACGAGCAAGATGAGCAGAAATGTTGTCCGCTTTCAGTCCAACAGCTTAGATTTTTGGGGTGAAAACAGAGCATTGTGGTGTGTTTTCCTGGAAATGTGTGTTCTTTTTTTTACTGTACATTTATCACGTAGTCGTAAGTACAAGAAGAAATTGAGGTTATCATAGTAAACCTCTGAAAGCAGACGGTGTGGCAATCGTGGCCATCCGTCCTTGAACTGATCAAAGCCACGCTATGATGCCATCGCGGTGCGTTGCGCCAATCCGCACCACATTTGTTTATGTTGGCACCATCGGACCTTGGCGTACCTGCCCGGTTCTCTTTGTGCTTTCTAAGATGAACACGCAAGCAGAAAATGAGATTCTTCTTACTCTTTATAATCCCTTAATTTGCTAAAAACAATAGTTTAATCATTGATGGGCTGTTGCTCCATCCAAAGAGGCCCTTCTGAGTCAACAGACAGTCTCTCTGAAATAAACAGAACCTTTGCCATTGGCTGCTGTCTGTTTGTGGACTATCTGGTCTGTGTTTGAGAGCATGTGAGGAATGAGCTGGCAGCGTTGGCCTCGGTACAACAAGCACAACTCCTCTGAACATGTTCAGGACTTACATGTAGTCGTCAACTCTCTCGCAGGTTCATTTAAAACCATTTTAAGCGTCTTTGCCAGAAGAGATATTGGGTGTTAGTCTTCACCCTCACCTTGGTGTTTTCTTACTTATTCCAGACAGATTGCGTCGTCGTGAGCGACAAACTCGTGAAATATCAGAAACACAACGTGGAAAGTGAGACGACAGGAACTTTAAAGCGCCGCGAGAACGATTAGCAGCAAAGTCCATAACCTTGAAACGTCTTATCACCATGTGAACAGGAATAATCGCTGGACTTCTCATGGCCAAATCACACAAAGCGTTATTTAAGTGTTTTTCAAGTGGAATTTGCTCGCGCAAGACAGTCGAACGCTGGCCAGGAATATCCTGTGCGGTAATTATCTTTGCGGCTGAAAACGAAGCAGGCGACGAAGACAGATAAGACAAAGGATGTTTACAGTGTGATGGGAAACAGACCCGTCTTTGGAATATTTGAAAATGTCTCGTGTGAGCACATTGACATAAACAAGCATCGGCGGGGACAGCTCATTCTGCCAAATAATGAGAATCTGGCTCGTACTGATGGCACATTTTGTTATACGATCGTTTACGGGAACATCGCATTAAAAGAGAGGTAGAACATTCTCACTTCAGTCTTCAGTCTTCATCTAAGGCAGGGGTGTCGACATCCGGTCCTCGAGGGCCGCAATCCTGCATGTTTTAGATGTTTCCTTCTTCCAACACACCTGATTCAAATAATCAGGATCGTTATCAGACTTCTGCAGAGCTTGATGATGAGCTGATCATTTGAATCAGGTGTGTTGGAAGAGGGAAACATCTAAAACATGCAGGATTGCGGCCCTCGAGGACCGCAGTTTGACACCCCTGATCTAAGGGTAGCTCTCGTAGCTCAGCTTATATTATAGAGAGAAACCCAGTGCATTCAAAGATTCCCTTTGAGCAGCTCTTTGGCGACTGGAAAGAAAAGAAACTCCCCTTTAACAGGAAGAAACTTCCAGCAGAACCAGGCTCAGGGAGGGCGGCCATCTGCCTCGATTGGTTGGGATGAGAGGAAAGAGAAAAGGGTGGCAGATAGGGAAAGAGATTGTTTTGTTTTGCATAGAGGACAAAATACAAACTACAGGAAGAGACAAAGTTAGTGACATGCAATGGTGGTGTGTAAGTGTATAGAGTGAAGTCCTACAGCAGTCTGAACCTATAGCAACATAACTGATAATGTATTAACTGTACATTTTTATCAAAAAGTAAAGTCTGAAGCCTTATCTTAAGGTAGAGAGGGTGTCTGTCTCCTTAATCCAAACAAGGTGGTGGTTTTACAGAAGCTTTTGCCTCACTACATGAAGGGTTCATTCGCAAAAACAGATAAGTCCGTCTTTTCCATCGTCTACCTGAGACAATATCAATCAAATTTATCTCTATTTTTGTCATTTCTACTGAGTCAAATCCACTCAGCTTCAGTTTGATTGATTTTATCTCAAGCAAACAGCAAAAAAAATATGTTTTCTGAAAATCTACAAAAATGGAGTTATCTGATTTTGCAAATTAACTCTTCATATGCTTTTGGAAACTCTAGTCGCCACAAGTAAACCTGCAGTCTGAGAGCAAAGTGCTCCGTTGGGATAATATGGTGTAATAAAGGTCTCTGAGATAAAAATGGAACTTGCTTAGTAATAGTTATGTATAGTAGGAGAAGGATCTCAGCAAGCCAATGGAGAGAAGATGAAAGAAGTGTGAGCTCTTTTGCTGGTTCCAGTCAGAACTCTGGCTGCACTTTGTATCAACTGGGGTAAGAGTTATTGGGACACCCTGATGATGAAGAATCCAGTCTAGACGTAGCAAATGCATGGACTCGTCTTTTAGGATTATTCAGGAGCAGGATGTATCACATTTCAACAAGAAGGCCATTTAGAGACTTGTTTTATGTGCAAGTAAAGGACATCCATCTCTTCCCATTAATCTTTGTGTTCCCCAGGAGACCACGATGAGGTGATGGTTTGTGGTTTTGAAGAAAATGTCTCAAAAACTACTAAATGGATGGCCTTAAAAATTGTTTTAGACATTCATGCCTCCCTCTGGGTGAAACATAACCACTTCTAAGATGTGCTGATTTTTCATCCTGTGCCATCATCAGATCCAAATTTCACTTTTCCTGTCGTTGGGTTCTTGACCAAATGCCTGCAAAACTAATCATCTTCTTATTCTGTGTTTCTGGTCAGTTTACTATGTTGCAGGAGAGGATTTTCAGAGAGTTTTGACGTGTTTTGATTAAAGGTCTTTGTCGTACTTGTTCTTTGATGACCTAAAACGTTGCACCATATAGCCAACCAACATGTAACCAACTCTTGGAAGTCTTGGAAGCAAAACTCCACATGGCGGAGTTACATCTAAGCCACCCCAAGTGTTCAAACAACTGGTTATCGTAATGTTTTGTCTTCCATCCATCGATCAGATCAACCTCCATTAGACGTTTGGCTCTCAACTAATTTTTTGTGGCTTGGGATATTTAAATTTTTTTTCAGTTGTTTGTATAGATTCTCAGTCATCCAGGTCACGGTGATCCTAGGAGCTCCAGTAGAAGGCAACTGGAATTCTCTTTTATCAGCTTGTTAGCATTATGTTGCTATGTTTGCATCAGAGTCCAACAACTTACACTTTGCTGATTTGTTTAAAAAAATTAGTTTAAAAACCCAAACGTTGAATAATCTCATGGATGTTACTCAGCAATCCAGAAGCCATTTATGCATTTCAGTCACAATACTGTATAGAAATGTATTTTATTACATATCTAGTGTGTTCATTTGCAAATCAAATCAATGCTCATTCAAACAATAAGATAATAATTTACTGTACAAAACGGATTCTCTCTCTCTCTTTTTTTTTTTTTAACAGTAATGATAAACATTTAGTGTAGGTTCCCTATAATATTTAAGGATCAAAGTGAAACTTTACCGCACGTTTTTTGGAGAACCAAACCGGGTCTCCATGTATCCAACACTGAGAAATTGCAAAAAAGCCAAAACACCAGAAGGATAAATAGAGTTACACTAAATGCTCCAACGCTGAACTCACCGTCCATTTTGTCCCATTATGAGCTCAGAGCTCTATAAATAATGAAGCTGGTATAATGCTGGAAGAGGCGTAGCACGAACAGACGGTGAACTAAGACCTGCTCAGACGAGGAGAGCGAGCGAAGCGGTGACAGAGTGCAATCATTCAGCAACAGCAAATACATACAAGCAACAAAAAATATAATAAGACTCATTACATTAACACTGTGGTCTGCTGTCAAACCCATTATTACATTCCAGTCTCTTTTCACGTTGCATAGCTGACACAAAACGTTTCATGAAGTGTTCACAGGGATCAAAGTAAGCTACCGAAAGGTTGTTTACAGACGGAGAGAAGAAGATGATCTGCAGGAAAAGTAAAGTCGAGTTTGGAAGTTGATATGTGTTTCATCACTAGCTGGTCCATGATCTGTGGTTTCCATTGTATTGAGCGTACTAGTCTACAGCATGTGTGAGCACAGGTTAAACATCATCTATTTGTAGTTGGTACATTCTTTCCTATTTTCATCTGTTGGGTTTCTAATAAAAAATGTAATTGAATTTAGAATTTCCATACATCACAGTTAAACATGTGTATTAACCAAAAAAGGACCGTCTTGAGGTACATATGATGCTGCTGCTCCTGTCACTTCTTTATTTCTGACATTTCCGCCCGAGTGAAATCAAACCTTCAGCTTTGAGCACGTTTGAGCGGTTTGGAAGTCCTTTGGCCCACTGGGCGTCTTCACTGGTACCGGTCCTGGTAGTCCCCATTCCCGCAATGCTCCTCGTCCTCTTGCATGGTCACCCCTCTCTTCTTTTTCCAGCCCTGTTTTCGGCCGGATGAATTGTCCGTCGTTCCGTAGCTCTTCTTGGGAGCCGCCATGCTCTCGTTGTTGAGCTCCGACTCCTCAGCCAGCTCGTCCTCATCAATAATGCCGCATTTGTCCTCGCTCGTGCTCTCGGGGTTGGCCCAGTCCTGCTGCTCTCCCGACGCGAAGAGAGCGTAGAAGATGACCCCTGAGTAATGCACCATGGACGCAATAACAAAGACATTCTGCCACTCCAGACGAGTCTGTGGGGAGACGAACAGAGTCGGTGAATTTCCTCTCAGACGATCTTTCAGCGAAGCACCGCTGAGGTAACGCTGTAAATCTGCTGCCTTTACTCATGGCACTGGAAATACTACAGCTGCAATGTGTGTAATAAATTTGCAGTGCTGTAAATTATTAATATTAGCCTCTGATGGATACAAGATTACATACAGCAAGTCAGCGAGCCACAATAAAACCATGCCTGATATAATTTATACATGCAGAACAGAAAATCTCGCAGCGGGAGTATCTGGGTTTCCTGTGATGTTTTGTGCATATATTACAGAATAGGAGATGAACAGCGAGGAATATTCAGATACAGATGAGATAAGAGCCAAATGTATATAGCAAATCAATATATGTTATACTGTATGTGTCTGTTGTACCTTGTGTTTAGTCAAAGCTCCAACAATCAGGGGACACACCATTCCCGACAGCGTTCCCACACCGTTAGATATTCCCATCAGGATGCTGGCATAGCGAGGAGCGATGTCCAGATGGTTGACATTAAAACCTAACGACACAGTGCACACAATTGTATTATTGAAGCTCAAAAATACAATAAATATTTTGTTTTGGATCCACATGCACACTCTAACTTTTGGGTTGCCTTGACAACAGTCTATAAAATATTCAGTAGAAGTGCCTCTTTGAAGGCTTGGCAAGCTAACACATGTATACTGCATCACACCCAAAGGGAAGGACGGAGTGTGTCTCTCTCCTTCTTTTAAAGAAACATCCATTCAGAACTCAAAATAGAGGAAAAGCACAATTTTTTAAAACAAAGTTCATCCTGTTGCAGTTTTCTACACGTGTGGGTTTATTTGTAAAACCTTCACATTGACGAGCTCAAAGAGTTGATTTTCATAAAACGCTACTGCTTTCGGTGTAAAATACCTGAGATGGCGAATCCACTGAAGCCTACAGCCAGCACAAGGAAGGAAATGGCCACCCCTCGAGTGTGAGAAAACCCGACCACCAGCAGCAGAGTCGCCTCCATGCCGAACCCTGTGACAAAAACAACAATTATCTCATGTGAGAAGCGTCCACTCCAGTTGAAATTATAATAAAATATTTGTAAAAATGCTGCAATAGGTCCCCATCATTGCAACGTTTGAATCTTTATAAGTCGTTCAAAGTGTGATTTCCAAAAAAATATGGAAACATGCTCTGCAGAGGGAAATTAAAAAAAAAAAAAACATTGCAAAAAAATGGTTTGAGTCAGATTTTAAGAAACATTTTCTATTTTTTCTCAAATGAAGACACTAGCTTACATCTGTATGCACCAAATGCACCAAACGTTTCTTGATATAACGTTGGAGTCATACTCCAAACCTATTTGTCATTTCAGAATATCAGTTATTTGGGAGGTTAGCAGCTGATTCCTGAAACAAAATACCAGAAATGTATGGTTTGGGGTAAAACTGGTTGTGAATGTGCCGTATTTGCAATTTAAAACAACAAAATCTATGTCACCACGGTACCTGAGACCATTAGCTTGGTAACTACTATAGGATTCAACCACAGTTCTTCAAAGGATAACGTGTTCCTATGACAGGCACCACGTTAGCACCAGAGTCTGATGCTACAACTGCAAGTACCACACGGGGTGCCATGGGTTCGTTTTCTCTTCCAAATAGTCTGAATTCATTGTACAAATTTACATAGATTAGTGTCGATTCATGCTTTCCGTCTGCTAGCTGTCATATCGTCCTTCATATCCACTACTGAAAAAAGCACAGAGCTCCTACGGATGTTTCTGAAAGCCTGACTGTGACTTTTGTAGGACATAGCAGCGGGTTACAGATTAGGCTGCATAGCACCGTGTCAATGGGATCATTCCTGAGAGTGTGTCAAGCACAGTGGACGGACGTAACACAGGATCTCTGGTGAATTTGGGACTTTCCACTGTGTCTGAGCTCGTACAAATCAAAGCACCTCCAACGTCCAGCAGCGACTACTTCAATTGCAACTCTTTTAATGATTAATCATAAAGGTGTGGATGACGAAAAACCTCCCTGAAAAGTCTCTCCTCATAACAGCTGTTTATTTTAACCCTCCTATTACCTTTACTTTTACTGACATCTTTTATCCTTGGGTTCAATTTAACAAATATCATAATTACAACTGTTACCCAAGGTTATGTGTAAATAGCCCTTTAAATAAAACTGAAAAAATGATGCCGATGACTTATTTAGAAATGTTAAACATAGAATAGGGTCAAATTGACCCAAAAGATAATAGGACGGTAAAGTGATTGTTTATTTTTCTGGCACTTGTGCAGTGGACGTGCCGGTAGTATGGAAAGTTGACTGAATGACGAAATTTGGTCAAAACTTTGTGGAGCTGCAGAAAAGCATGAACTGAATGAATGGGTCTGTGGTTATCAGGGACTTTGTGTCGTCATCAGACATGTACATAAACATAGACACACCAAAAGGCTAATTAAACAGTTTTACTCAATTTATTTCTGTAGGCATACAAAATGTCAGTGCTCGTGTGTCTGACGTTGAGTACCCCGCAGGTGTATTAACTTACAAGGGGGTACCATAATACCTGCAATTACAGTTGAGAGTTTAGCACATGCACTGATCAGCTACAACATTAACACCACTGACAGGTTAAGAGGCTGGCACTGACATCGGATGATCTGCTGGGAAACCTTGGGTCCTGACATCCATGTGGACATTACTTGGACACATGGTTGGAGCATGTCCCCATGGCAACAGCATCTCCTCTAACAGGATAATGCCCCCCTGCCACACCAGTCCAAGTCCATCCATTCATCCATTCATTATCTATACACCGCTTAATCCTCACTAGGGTTGTGGGGGGCTGGATTGTATCCCAGCTGACTCAGGGTGACGGCAGGGGACACCTGGACAGGTCACCAGTCTATCACAGGGCTACACTTAGAGACAGACAATCAAGCACACTCACATTAACACCTACGGACAATTTGCAATCACCAATTAACCTCAACATGTTTTTGGACTTGTGGGAGGAAGTCGGAGAACCTGGAGAGAACCCATGCTGGCAACGATGCTAACCACCGAGCCACCTTGCAGCCCCCAGTCCAAGTCCAAGGCCTAAAACAAAAAACTTTACAGATCCTACTCTGGTAACATCTCAGTCAGTACCAGACACAACAGGACTTACCCCACAGCTCCTGTGTCCGTGGACCAACAAGTCAGAGCTTTTATGGTGGCGCAAGGAAGACCTACACAATGTCAGGCAGGTGGTGTATATCGATACGTATATGATGTGCATTAAGACATCAAGACAGCAAGATGTGTTCACACAGTCGTACCTCCACAGTTCATGAGTTTCCTCACATTTGTGGTTGACATGATTTTGTTGCTGCGTAAAAAGTCGGCAAGCTGTCCTCCAATAGGAACTACAATTGTCATCACCATGTGGGGGACAGCAGACAGGATCCCCACCTGTAAACAGCAGTACAATACACAAGACACAACGTCAGGAATTTGTCTTTGATATTGTCAGTTAAACAGCTGTAAGGTCATTCCACCTCAATCCACCAGATGGCTCTCACATGACCATCTCAGATTGGGTTGAACACATTTGGAGATGGATGTTTATCATCAAGATATTGCTGCCAAATAAAATGCATAAGTGAATATTTTTCAGCAAAAAAACATAAATTAAGAATGAAAATTTCAAAAAATTAGTCCAGCAAAATTGAAAAAGGTAAAAAAAAATAAAAATGAATTACCATGACAAGTTCGGAACGTTCTCTTTCAAATGACTTCAATTATGTGTTGGTATGACCTATCATTCACGAGTAAAGTTGAGGAAAATTGTGATACTTTTTGATGGTCAGTATCTCAGAGGATGTATGAGTCATCCATCCATCCATCCATCCATCCATCCATCCACCACCTATCCATCCATCCATACATCCATACATCCATCCATCCATCCATCCATCCATCCATCCATTTTCTTCCACTTATCCGGAGTCGGGTCGCAGGGGCAGTAGGCGAAGCAGGTCATTCCAGACTTCCCTCCCCCCAGTGATGCTTTCCAGCTCTTCCTGCGGGATCCCGAGGTGTTCCCAGGCCAGCAGAGAGATATATTCCCTCCAGCGGGTTCTGGGTCTGCCCTGGGGTCTCCTCCCAGGTGTTCGGGAGACCTCCAGAAGAAGGCTCTCCGGAGGCATCCGAATCAGATGTCCATACCACCTCAACTGGCTCCTTATGACGTGCAGGAGCAGCGGCTCTACTCTGAGCTCCTCATCCTATCGCTAAGGCTGAGCCCAGCCACCCTGTAGAGGAAGCTCATTTCGACCGCTTTTATCCACGATCTTGTTCTTTCGGTCACAACCCAAAGCTCGTGACCATAGGTGAGGGTTGGGACGTATGAGTCATCTTCATGAAATTGGATATATTGAAACAACTCATACCGGTGTGGCACAAAAATCTCAGCCTTCTATTGTAAATCCTCTGTGTTTCATGGGTGTACAAAGATGGTCTTGGACATTTGATTAGATTGAACAGGCCATAGAATCTCAGCATATGCGTTGAGGAACCTGTAATGTTGGATTTAAACACCTCCAGTATCGAAGAAACATGTTCTGAAATTTGAAGTCTGTGCCTTAAATACTTCTCGAGATATTATCTTCCAAAATTACATTACTATTTGTAGCAAAAACTATCATTGCTATGACCCTAAAATTTAGGATTAAGCCATCTTGATGATAAATAAAGTGATGGATGGTCATGCGGGAAGATTTTCTGAAATCTGGTGAATTGCGGTGGTCTGACCCTGTAATCAAAATCTGAGGCCAACCTTGCTGATGGGGAAGCCGAACACCTCCTCAAAGTACGCCGGCTGGCTGATGAGAAGCAGGTAGAAGGTCCAGCTGCGGCAGAAGTTGGCCACGATGATGGCATAGACGGGCATGGAGGTGAAGAAGCGCCGCCACGGAGTCTTGAATTTCTGCGATTGGAGAGACAGAAGTCAGTCTGCGCTGTTCATGCTTGTGTGTTTGTTCACTGGGAAACTCAGCTTGTTCCACACCTCAGTCACACTCAGTTGTTTGACGTTTTCACCGATGGTGGTTTCGATGTACATCCTCTCCTCGTCCGTGATGGTGGGATGTTCAGCAGGACTTCCATACGCCAGCAGGAGCCACAGGATGTACCATATGATCCCGAAAACACCTTTCATTAAATGAGAACAGAAAAGTGAGCGCATTCCTTTATAGATGCAAACTTAAAAGATGATTATCTCTGCAGTGAAGGCTTTGTAAGGTATGAAAGAGTAGCTTCAGTGCAGGACAGATTAATTAAACCAAACCAGACCTTTTCTGGACCACGAGAATTTTTCATTATTAAAAATGAAACTGGCATGAGTCACCGAGCCCAGACAGGAAAATGCTAATTTACATCAATAAATCATGAGATCGTATCGCGGCAGAACCAGAGTGGGTTTTTATTAAAACATGTTTGCCAAAGTACGAGTTTTATGCGATATGAGCGTTAATCGTTTTAATCAAACTCAAAAGCAATTCAGATAACGCTTATTGTGCAAAAGCATACAAAGTACAACTGGTGGAGAGCAATGAGTCTGTCAAGGACTATCAAAACCACGTTTCATGACGCTAAACTGTGTATTTTGATGAACACCCCGGTTCACTTTTATTCATTCATTCACATGCCGACCATTTAGTCAAGAGTAGATTCACATTCACACACACTCACTCATTATTTTCAAACAAGATTTATCATTTCTAAGGAGTAGCTTCAGTTTTTGGTTCACTAACATTTCGTGTTTATGCTCTGCATCGCTAATAATGTTGGTAATCAATCAATGCACATAATAAACACTGGAGTTATACATGTTAATAAGTGTGTAATGAGTAGATTTAAGATTATCTGTGTGCTTCTCGAAAAGTTAAGTGGTCTGTATGAGGGAAACTCATTTTTTTTAAAGTGTCCTGCTCGATGATAAACTACAACCAGAGCAATTTTTTAATTTGTTTCTGTTTTTATTGATTTAAAAAAAAAAAAACATTCCTCAGCTATTGAAAAAACAAACTGTTTATAGAGGATGGAGCAGCATCAAATGAATTTGTTTGTTAATCCTTTACTTCCCAAGATAATGCCATGAAAAATTCTTTTTATATTTCCAATACCCCAAACAAATACAAGCAAGCGTTTTTCCCGAGGCTACAAGAAAGTTTAAGTAAAATTTACTTTTTGTTGGAATATGTCTTTGTAGAATTGGATACTGTTGGTAGCTCCTGTGTTTTCATTTTTTATGTGGAGAAGCTATTTGTTTGGGGTTTTTTTTTGGCCCTTTTGCCTTTATTTGACAGGACAGTGGAGAGAGAGAGACAGGGAAGTGGGGAGATGAATGGGGGAAGGACTTGCAGCAAATGGCCATGGGCTGGATTTGAACCCACGACCGCTTCGTTGGTACTATAGCCCCAGTACATGGGTCGCCAGCTCAACCAGTTGAGCTATAGTGGCGGCCCAAGCTTTTTGTTTGTTTTACATGTGTGAATTACCTTTTGAGGGTGTGATTTTACATCTGGGATGTTCTTTCAAACATTAGCCTCACCGTAAATATAGAAGACCGACGACCAGCCGACGTACTGGACGAGCACTCCGGCTAAAGGCATGGCGATCACTGCTCCTGCGTAAGATCCTGAGGAAAACGGGTGTCAGACATCAGCGTCAGGTTCCAGCAGTAAGACTAGATCACAGTGATGCTGAACTATCATAACTATCTTGTTTATATTTTCCTTCACAAGTTTATTACCAGTGAAAACAGAAACTTCCTCTGGCTACAGCGCGACTTCATTTAATGCAACTGCACAGTGAAATGACGTCTTATTGAGAACAAACACATCAAAGAAACACATTAGTTTCGTTGAATGAATGCTGTTGAAATGAGTCATTAGCCCTGCCATTAGAGGAAGGGTCTTTCATAGTGTCGACTAGCATCTGACAGATTCATAAACACTGTTGCATTGAATGGAGCTGAGTGTGAGAGTGCATTTGGACAGTGAGCAATGTGACACTTCATTTAGGTAAATAGAAGGAGAAGCTCCTTCAGCGTGTGCAGGTGAGCTGTGTTCATTTACAGACAATGTCAAGAGGGTTTTCATTCATGGGTTGTCATGGTACCAATTTAAAGTGCTTATTTTCATTTCTGCAGAGACAAGCAGGGGACCGGATCTGCACAACAAAATACGCTTTCTCCGATCCATTTGCTGACCAGCCACGCTTTGGCTTGTAGGGGTTGTGTAAATAAATAGGTTTGTATCAGTGGGAAAAAAAAGTCATCAGTTGGGGAAAATTGGCATTTTGATAAGAGGAAAACAAGAGGCGTCACTCACCACAGAAGGACGTGGTGGCCAGTCGACTCCGTTCCAGAGGCGGCGCCCATTTGGACCACATCCCGTGACACGCTGGGTAGGTGACGCCCTGGTGGGAACAAGATGTAGAGGGTCAAAGAAATGATTGAAAGGGATTCATCTGACTAAGCAGAAATGCTTTAAAGCAACAGTTTGACATGTTGGAAAATACGTTAATTTGTTTTCTTGCAGATACCTCCCAGCAACCTAAAACTGCTAGTCTGCCTCTTCTAAGGATCAGTAATATTTCTTGATTAGGTAAAGATCCAGTGTGTAGGATTTAGTGGTATGTACAGGTCTCTAACGTCTCCCTTTTCAACTTTGTAGGAGAAGCTACGATGGCTGCCACTTCAACATTAAAACACAAGAGGCCCTTTCTAGAGCAAATGTTTGATTTGTCCATTCGGGGCTACTGTAGAAGCATGGAGGTGGCATCATGGGGAAGGATCTACTCCATGCGTACATATGAGAGCTCATTCTAGGCTGACAAAAACACTGTGATGCATAGTTAAAAGTGACTGATGAAAACATATCTATAAATTCTACATTCGACTTCTGCTAATAGATCCCCTAAATTGTGAGTGTGTGTGTGTGTGTCTGTGAACAGTCTCTAGCTTGAGTGCTAAGGTCTTGCACGCTGATATTTTACAGGTGAGCAAGGGATGGCCTCTCCTTGGAATGGTTGGATTTTGGGGTCAATCAGTGCAAAAACAGCTTTGCTAGAGGTCAAAAGGTCACTCTGTCAAAAATGCGGCATACCTTCAAAAAGGGTGGAAGGTAGATTTATGGTATTTGTTGCAGATGAGCAACCATATCGGGGCTTTTCTTTGGTGATGTTACATTTGACCTTGGATGATATTTCAAGATCAAACTCAAGGTCAAAAAATGTGGATATTGCCATTATATGCTAAATAACATGTAATGTATACACAAATTGTGCCCATTTCATCTTGGACAACCAGCCAACCTTGATTAGTGAAAGAAAACACCAATTTTGTGGTAAGTTGGACGGGTATTTGCATTTTTTTTTTTTTACAAATGTAAAAAAAAGTCATTGTTTTCTCCCCCAGTTTTTGTTGTTGTTGTTTGTTTGTTTGTTTTTTTACCTCCACTAAGCCCTGCAGGATGCGAACAAACATAACGCAGCCGTAGTGGACCCTCGCCGCCGATGGGATGAACATATTCAGCACTGACGTCAGGAAGATGGCAGCACCAAACACCCTGCAGAAAAACTGGAACGTCATCATTTTGTGCAAATGTGAAAAGAACCATTTATGGATCTCTGTAATTAAACAGTACTGCACTTTGGGAAATACACCTTTTCAGCACAGCCACCAGGCCTTTAGCTTAGCTTAGTGTGTAGACAGCAAATATGGGACTTGCAGAAGAAAAAACAAATGCATTGGTCGATTCGTGAACTTTCAAACTAAGTATATGTGCTAGAAGGTGGACTGTGTCATCGTTATACAGAGCCAGGCTAGCTGTTTGTCCCTGTTTCTATTATTTATTCTAAGCTAAGCTAATATGCTTCCTTCTGTTGCCATTCTTTATGCTAAGCTAAGCTAATATGCTGCCTTCTGTTCCCATTCTTTATGCTAAGCTAATATGTTTCCTTTCGTTTCCATTCTTTATCCTAAGCTAAGCCAATATACTTCCTTCTGTTTTCATTCTTTATGCTAAGATAAGCTAATATGCTTCCTTCTGTTTAAATTTTTTATCCTAAGATAAGCTAATATGCTTCCTTCTGTTTAAATTCTTTATCCTAAGCTAAGCTAATATGCTTCCTTCTGTTTAAATTCTTTATACTAAGCTAGTATGCTTCCTTCTGTTTCCATTCTTTATGCTAAACAAAGCTAACATGAAGTCCACCTCATGAAACCCTGCAGGAAAGCAGCATCAAACATCAAACTATTCCTTTAAAGTTAATATTAATTAGGAAAAATAGATATAATGTTCAATAAATGTGAATTTATTTCCAATAATTAGCCAGACACTTTTAGCAGGTTGGCTCAACATATAAACAAACGAGGAGAATAAACATATATCAGTGAAATTTGGCTTTTTGTTTAATTTTAGGAAACTTAATCGATCATAATGACAGATTGCTGAAACAATGCCTCAGCACCGTGACTGTATATAGTCCCAATGTGTCCGTGGACAAGTGAAACCACAACAAACACATGCTACCCAGAGTCTGAAAGCTACTGTAGATGTCTAATATTGTCAGTCAGTATATCTCCAAATATCTGCCGGTCGAAGCCTACAGTCAGCCTTATAATGAGGCACATCTCACGCCTCTGCCTTTCACCGACTGAGATAAAGACATCCCCATTCAATCCACAAGTTTCTGCTTCATCACCACGGTGCTGCTGCTTAGCTCCCCTTCTCCTTTCTCCTTCACCTCATCCCACCCCCACTCCTTCCCCCCTTCCTCCTCTTTTTCCAAAACAGTGTGTAAGTGACACTTGTAATATTCCAGCGGCTGGTGTTTCAGAAAGAAATCAGAGGCAGGATCTTTCATTATTAACTCTGTCAGTGGCGTGTCCTCTTTTCCTGTGAAGCTTTTATTACAGGACTGCTATCTGCTCCATCAGCGGCGCTCACCACGCCGTACAGCTTTAACCCTTTAGAAGCACGCGGGTTTGAGGAGGCGCTACCCCCCCAAAAAAAACCCTTTATTTATTTTTCCATCTTTCCTATATGATCCGTCCACGTAATTCATCCACAAAACCGCCCGAAAACCATCTCACCTCACATGTAACCTGAAACTGTTTCTGCCTCATTAATAGCAGCATCAGTTTTTCTCTACAGTTCATTTAGGGCTGCAACCAACAATTAGTTCACGGTTTCAAATCCTGCAATCATTTTTTCTTTTTTTTTCTTTCAGCTAGCAGTCCAAAGGCTGGTAAAGATGCACAGCAGAGATTAATCTTGTTACCATAAAAACCACAAGTCATGAAGTCAATAAGTGCATGTGACCTGTTGGCAGAGAGCTTGTTGGAGATGAAACCACCGGGGATCTGAGTGACGATGTAGCCCCAGAAGAAGGAGCCGTGGATCAGCCCCACTGTCTCTGGGTCCCAGTTAAACTGAGCTTGCTGGGAAAAGGAAAAAAAAAAAAAAAGATTGGGTCTTAAAAATAAAACTGTGTGAAGAGAAGCAGCTCTCTCTCTCTCTAAAAGGTAATAAAATGTTGCTCAGTGCAATACGCAAACAGTGTCTGCAATTACAACCTTACTCGCTTAGCAAACTTTAATTTGTCTGCATGTGTTTTCCATGATTAATGAAACAACGACAAAACAAGCACACATTACACAAAGTCCTAAAACACCAGTAATCCGGTTTTCCCGTCTGATAACTTCCAGCTACCTGAAGCACCGGAGTCCCGTTGATGTAGACGGTGTTGTTGTTCACCATCTCCACAATGGCCACACCGAGGTTGCATCGAATGCCGAAGGAGATGCAGAAGCCCAGGCCGCTGAGGATGGCGATGATGTACCGCTTGGGCAGGCCGCCGCAGCTGCAGTCCAGCAGCGGGGCAGGACGTGGAGCTGACGCCACCGGACGCCCGTCCTCCGTCAGCTCGATGGTGTCTTCTTCTTCCACATTACTACCGTCTATTTTCCTACAGAGCAAAGAGCAGCGGACTGTCATCTGTTAACATTTATTCAGATGTATCTATTCTTTCTCTACTTTCAGTGTCCTTTTTTAGAGCTGAATTTATTCATACAAGCATTTACAGAGTGTGGTTTCATGTATTCATGTCATAATATTCTATCCCAAGTGCTTTCTGTCAACTCCTGCTGAGGAAGGAGGAGAAAGGTCACCGTCCATTGACATCAGGGTGCCTTCAGGTGCACCACCCTCCACCCAGAATCCACCTCTTTCACTGCCACCTGCAGAAGATCTGTTATAGACTACACGTATCCCCCAGGAAGAACATGAACAAGAAACAGGGATCAGCTTTTGGTATGAAGCGCTTGAATCGTGACTGTTTTTGACCTCAGTGGTTGAGAAGCCACTTTTGTCTTTTGCAGTGTGCATCCTGTAAAATTATGTTATGTGGACAATTTAGGAAGGAGAACGAAACAAATGTATATAAGCAGAAGAATTAATTAATTGTTTTTTTTCCATCCAAATTTCTTGTTTTTTCAATTAAAGAGCATGATGGTTAATAGATGATCTTTGAAGAACAAAATCCTTTAAGAAGCAGGATAACATGCATTGCAGCTATTGTCTGATACGGGCTGGCAGTCAAAAATGTAAAAAATAAGATTACTATGTCATGATTTTTATATATATAAATCAACCAAACAGAGGTAAAAATGCTCAGGTTACTTGAGGTTCACACATGTGTACATGTTATCCAAAATGGCAGCAACATCTGGATGTTTAATGTTGAACTATTATTAATTGGCGATTTTCAAATAAATATTATGGCGTCTGTTGCATGATGAAAATGAATTGTGGGTACAAATGGATGAATTGCTCTTCAGTTAATCCACATTGTTTCACTTAATAGCAATAAGTTATTTTTCTCATTATTATTAGACAGAGAAAGATTTTCCACTTTGTCAGTCTAATTTACATGACACATTAACGTAACACACACATAAGTCATTATTCAGGAAATTGCCTACTCAGTGCTTTATCTCCTGGATTGACTACAATCTCTCTTATATATATGGAGGCTCCCCGTTCAAACACAGACACACACGCCCGTCTGTGAAATATGTATCAGATATGAAATATGTATCGATGTCTTAAAATAAAATCTGTGATTACATCACTGGCATTGCTTGGCAAAGAATCAAATATTTATTTATCGTCAGCATCTAAGAGAACACAGCGGGCTTCATGCGCTCGCTCACATCGTCTCCACGTCCCTCCGACAGCAGATGTTGGTTCTTGCAAAGTTGCTCCAGAATTGATCCCCACCGAATGTAAAACATGAACAATAAGTGAAAGCAACCCTCTCACCTTTGCAGCTTTCCCATCGAGTCCCCCACCGTGTTCTTCACTTCCTCCTTCCCAGGTTTAAACACCTGCTCTTTCAAACTTGCTAAACCAAAAGGCATTTTCTCTCTTCTTGGTCTTTCTTTCCTCTCCCTTTATCCCAAAACAGTGTCTTGATACTTCACGAGCACACTTTGTTCTGAGAGAAGAAACAAAAATCCACTAGAAGCTGTTCCTCATCCTTCCTGAGTTTGTGGCACCGGGGTTTGGCTCCACCTGTCCGTGGTGCCAAGGGTCCCTCAGAGGTAATGAAGACTTTCGGTCTCCACTTTTGCAACAGAATCAGTAAAGAAGTGGAAGGGAGGGTGATGTTCAAGTATTCCTCAGTGTCCAAAGTACCATTCAGCCAGAGCCTCTGGAACTTGACTCATCTCTGAAAGATCCGTCCGAGACTGGCGACAAATGAAAGCGTACAATCCAGTTTTTAGTCTCTAGGCATTGTGATCCCCTTTTTGTCTGCAGCTGACTGGAAGGAGCTCCTTAGATCTCCTCTCCATCTCATAACTCATCCCTTCCTGGCGAGGAGGGGCAGGTAGAGCTGGTTTTACCAAAACCCAGCCCCTCGCTTTTGCACATCATCATCTTCATCATCTCTCTGGCACCACCCCTCCAGCTAGTTAGGTTCATCTGATAGCAGCCCCACTGGACCAACGATTAAATATGGATGAGCTTGACATGTTGCATTGAGGAGAGACAGGCGTAGCTGGACCGCTGTGGTGTAAAATGGGAGCAGGTGAAACTCAAGACAGAGCCATCGAGCTCCCGGTTTACACTCTGTGCCAGCTTTTCCATATCTGCTTTGTATATTTATGAAGGAGCGACAGAACTCATAAACCTGCCAACAACGGCACATCCCCAACCCGTTTGACACCGGTGGGCATTTCCCTGAATACTTCGACAGCACAGAGGGAATACTTTTCTTTGCAGGTCATTAAATATTCAGCATTTTAAAACACAGAAATTGAGATTTTAAAATTTAAACAGCAGGCTGGATGATGTGGCCCAGCGCCTTCAGAGCCTGGTGCAGGGATGTGCTGCTGGATGCTGCCGGCGCTCCAGAGCTCGCTCTCTAGTGGACGCTCTTTCCATAGATACGATTCTTGTTATAGCAGAAATATCACAGCTTTGTTACGTGAGACATAAACGGGCTGTTCTTGTGCTTTTAATGTAGTGATTTTGGCACGACTGGTTTATATATTAAGCATCATTAGCCTCAGGAACACGCGCTGTTGGTTAGAACTCTGTCTAATAGAATAATAATTTCAAAGATCCCAGCCAAAATATCGGTTTCTTATCCAACTCTGAGCTAAACATTCAGCTTGGCAGTAATATCTGAACATGAAGCCAAACGCAATGAGAGGAAAAATGTCTTTTCCTTTCCAAACAAGTCGTGTCTACCATCTAGTGTCTGGGATGAGGAAGTGACGCATTGTTCTCATAATTCAACTCTGCACAGACACCGACAACCACTATGCTTTATACCATGATGTCACCTTCCCAGTCATTTGAAGGTGCATGTTGTCATAACCTGGCTCATGGGTTGTAACAAATATGGCAAGGAACACAGATTTAACTCAAAGTAAGGATATTTATTATAACCAAAAGCAAGCGATGCAACAAATAATAAGTGAGGCGTGTGATGATCAGTAGTGGAGATGTGAATGAGTGAACATGATGAGATGGAAGGTGTTGTTGAGCAAAAACAGAGCAAAATCAAAGGAAAACATGTCGGCCGGGTCAGACAGAGTGAGAGAGAGAGCAAGAGAGACATGGCTGAACTTTATGGGCCGTCCTGATGCCTTCAGGGACCCACAGGTGAATGGAATCCCGGGCTCCATGGCAGCAGCTGACAGTCACAATGTGTATCTGCTAATATAAGCAAAACGTAGTCATCGAGCATAAGTTTGATCGAAAGTGTGTCGTGTGTGTGTTGTCCAAAAGGTGTGTGTCTAAAGTAACCGATAGAATACGGGAGTTTATATTATCTTCAAGGACGTGCATTGTGCTCTGTAGAAAAAAACAGGATCATAGGTTCAGTGGAGAAATACAGAAAACATGATAGTTTGAAACATAGCTAATGACAACACAGCTGTTTTGGGGAAATGCGACCTTTGACCTCTGTAGCGGCCACCGATGAATGCACTGGCCCCAAAATCTAATCACTCCGTAAAGGGACCATACTGAGGTCATGTGTGAAGTCTCAGGTTCAAGTTTCAAGTTCAGGTTCAAACTCCTGTCCCTTAACGCTTATCCTTTGGGTTGCCATGGTGATGATAGATGCTGCAGCCCCTGCAGGAGACAACAAAAGTGAACGTTTTGAGT